TAGTTTGAAAAATGGAGTTGGGTTTTATATAAAAGCTATTAAACAAAAATAACAGATGGTAGTTCTTAAATTTGAAAAAATTATTCAATAATAATTATGAACATGGACTTGCTGGAATTTTATTTTCGAGATCTTAAATTTATTTTTAAAATATCAATGCATATGAAGTTATTTTTGAGGATTATGATAGCTTCTTAATAGAAGATTAGATAATGATTATTTGAATCTGACTCTTAATAATCAAACTTTATAAAGATGTTCATCACCAAAAGGGTCTGTACTCTATGCATCTTTTTAAAAACCTCAGTATATCAAAACAATAATAAGAATGTTTCTATAATCAATTTCTATTTTTAAATAAAATAACTAACAGGGCTATGGTTATTATTACTTAGATAAAGATACTGATTTCATTTAGCTTTTAGATGTCTATTTGATTAATAATGATAACTTTTTAAAAAATAAGAATTTTTATTTTTGAAATTGAATTAGCATATAATATTTGTTTAATTTTTTTTAACAAAAAATTTGGGCATTTAAGATAATTAATGCGGTAGGTTTTACAAATCAAAATTTTTAAATTAAAATGAAAATTACTCTTTCTTTATTAAATCTAAAAGAATTCTAACAACAAATTAAATTTAATTAATCTTATTTTAAATAAAAATTATGGCTTTTTAGGATAATTTTCTATCAATAATTAACTGTTTTTTTCAATTTAATTTATGAATTATTTTAATTTGATAAATTTGCTCTCTCTTAATAAAAAAATTAATTATCATTACTAATTTATCCATTTTTTATTTTAAATTACCCTTTGTATTTAATTATTTTTTTTTCTTTATGAAAATGATTATTCTTGATACTAGTTTGAATAATTATATTAGATTTTTATTTATAAGTTAGGTGAGTAATATCTATATTGTTGATTCATAATATCCATTGTTTAAAATATTAGTTTATTTTTTAAATATTTTAAGTACTTATAAAAGTTATTTAAATGAAGAACAATGGTCAAAATGATTCATGAATATGTAAATAGAATATTTAAATATATACATTACAATTATATACAATTATTTTATTTTAACTGATTTATTATTATAATCATTCACTAGATATTAATAATTATGAAAGTAATTAAAAATTTGATGGTTTTTTAATCTATAAAATTTGCTTATTTATTGAATAAATTATGTACTATTTAAAACATTAATTTCCTCGAAAAATAATCAGACTTCTTTGATAGAATTTCACTTCTTAATTATTATTAATGTAGAGTACTAAGTTGGCTAAGCTTTTTGAAGGTTTGAGTAAATCTAAGTAGTTTAAATTAATCCTCACAGTATCACAAAGATTAAATATAAATAATACAAATCTAATTAGATAATATTAAATAGAATAAATTACTGCTGATTAAATAACTAAATATGCATCAATCAAAATTTATTATAAAGTAATTTCTTTTCTTTCATTTTGAAAATATAACTTTTAAATTTAGTGAAAAGTTAAAAAATAGATATTCGACTATTTATAATTACTTTTTTATTTTAGAAATTTCAAATCATATTCATAATTTTCTTATAAAATAGATGTTTAATGAACATAATGATTAATTTTTAAACTATAAATAAAATATTTTTTAAGTGAAATCTGAATACAATTGAATGAATTATCAATGATTTTATATTTTAAATTTTAGAATGATAAACTTATTTTAATTATTTACATTTTGTTCTGAATTGATAATTCCAAACAATAGTTTCTGAAAAAATAGGCTCAAAAGATAAAAATTTATAACTTAATTATTCAATTTTTTAAAGAGAGTATGGAGTAAGTAAGAAAATTATCTTAAAAGTAGATTAAATAAAATAAAAGTCTGATAAATTTTGATTGCTTCTGGGTACTTTTTTTGATTATAGAGCTGGAGGTTAGTAGCTGCATTTATTATAGCTATTGATTTCATAGCATCAAATGAAGAACCGGAAAATGCTAATTCAGTGTAATATCTTCCCTTAAATAAGTCTTCTAGTCAATAATTATAGTAAATTATTAATGTGATTGAAATATTGATTAATTATGATCGATCATGATAAAACGGATCATTCTTTAGTTTTAGATTATAAACCTATTATATAATATTAAAAGTTAAATCAAATGTTACACTTTTTTTCTTTAAATATAATTCAGAGTAAGATATTCACATCGTTAGAGTTTATGGATTAGATAGAATTATTGAATGCTATAAAACTAATCTCATAAATTATAATTTGATGGCCCAATTTATTTGCATCTAGTATTAGAGATTTAGTTTTATTTTTCTTTTTAAAGATCTCTAAATTGATCCATCTCAATTATTAGAAGAAGTTTTACAAGAATTAACTAATTATTTAGTTAAATCTTCTGAAATTTGTTGTATTTGTTCTAAAGTTCAAAAAGGAAAAATATTATTCTCAAACAATCCATTTTAAGGGTTGATTAGAAATTTACTAATCAAACCAACCAAATTTGATAATTTTAAGAGTAATTTTCAATTACATCGCTTAGAAGACTTTATTTAATATGGTTATAACTTCTATAAGATAGAAATAAGAATATTTAAATAATTTGAAAGATGTTATTTTAAAATGCGAGATTTAACTTCTTTCAAGGCTTGTTAATTAATAGGCAAGTTATATGATTAATTCAAAACAATAAAATATAACAGTAAATGTTTATAGAAAAACCAAGTTTTTGTATAGAACTTTCCAAACATGAAAATGCTCCTTAACAGATTGTATAAAAGCTCTTACTATAAAATCAGAATACTACAAGTATTTTATATGTAATTATTAAGCTTAATGATTAATGTATCTAGAATATCCCCTCATATTTGGATTAAGTTACGACACTAAAAGTTTAGGCCTACTTTTTTTTGATCAATATTAATGACTATTGTGCTTGGCTTTTTATTATCCTGTTTTGACATCCCAAAGACGGAAAGAGTTATCATAACTACTTGATGCTAATGTATTTCCATCAGAAGAGAAGCAGAATGACCAGACAGTACTAGTATGACCATCTAATTTGGCTTTTTATTATCCTGTTTTTACATCCCATAGACGGATAGAGTTATCATAACTACCAGAAGCTAATGTATTTCCATCAGGAGAGAAACAAACTGACCAGACAGTGCTAATATGACCATTTAATGTGGCTTTGTATTGTCCTGTTTTGACATCCCAAAGACGGATAGAGTTATCATCACTACCAGAAGCTAATGTATTTCCATCAGGAGAAAAACAGATTGATCTAACAGTATCAATATGACCATCTAATTTAGACTTTTAATATCCTGTTTTAACATTCCATAAACGGATAGACTAATCATGACTACCAGAAGCTAATGTATTTCCATCAGGAGAAAAACAGACTGACATTACCCAATGCTCATGACCATCCAGTTTGGCTGTTTATTATCCTGTTTTGACATCCCATAGACGGATAGACTGATCATCACTACCAGAGGCTAACGTATTTCCATCAGTAGAGAAACAGACTGATCTAACATCTTTAGTATGACCATCTAATTTGGCTATTTATTATCCTGATTTGACATCCCAAAGACGAATAGTGTTATCAGCACTACCAGAAGCTAATGTATTTCCATCAGGAGAGAAACAGACTGAGTAGACACGATTATTATGACCATAAAATTTGGCTTTTTATTATCTGGTTTTTACATCCTATAGACAGATAGTATTATCATAACTACCAGAAGCTAATGTATTTCCATTAGGAGAGAAACAGACTGACAAGATACTATTAGGATGACCATGAAATTAGGCTGTTTATTATCCTGTGTTGACATCCCATAGACGGATAGACTTATCTTCACTACCAGATGCTAATGTATTTCCATCAGGAGAGAAACAGACTGAGTAAACACTTTTTCTATGACCATAAAATTTGCCTTTTGATTATCCTGTTTTGACATCCCAAAGACGGATAGAGTTATCATAACTACCAGAAGCTAATGTATTTCCATCAGGAGAGAAACAGACTGA